ACCCTTGCTTTTTCAGATAATAAAAGAGTCTTAACTGACAATGAAAGTATTTAAGTCCTCTATGAATTCTCTGAATGAAGATGGACAAAGCCATTAACCTTTTTTGAAGAAATTACATTATAAAAAGGATGAAAGTGACACGGAATGGTTCAAGAAAAGTTAAGAAAAGTTAAGCATATGAAAAATGTTCACTATTATCAAGCACACATTCTGGGGTTTGCTCTGAGTTTCACAGGTAGAGGAGAACGTTTTGCTGATTTTATGCAATAAACTATTTGTCATAACTATATCATCATAATACCTACAATAGAAAAAGGTAAATAGAAAAAAAAAATATCCTTAAAAAGGCTTAAGCAAACATTCCTATATCAATCTGGACCATAATTTAAAGATACTAATATTCCTTTATTCTATTTTCTTGAAATGAACTGAGCACTTACTCATCTTACAGATTTTTTTAGGAAAAACATGTTGATACAAAGCACTGATCAAAAGTTCTCCCCAACTCCCCAGATTTAACTATCTGAAGACAGATTTTGGCATCGATATTTACAATTTCCCACAAAAAAAAAAAGCTTTTTGCAAATGCTGTGCAACTCTGGCTAAGATTTTATATTTTCTCCAAATGACCCTGATAAAGAAACTAGCAGGTCTATGTAAACAAGTCCAAAAGTGGAAGTAGCATAACTATAGTATTTCATTTAAGCCAACATCCAGAAATACAGTATAAAACTCTGATGAACTGGCCACTGACAGCTTTAAGACCTAAATTCATGAAGACCACAAGCAAACAACAGAAGTTGTAGCTACCTGAGTTATAGCAAATGTCATTTAGTTTCTTCATCTCGGTGACATCTGCACTAGACTACAGCTTTGCGTAGATTAGTCAGACACATCAGCAACCACATATTAGTTGAGGTGAGGCTGTAATGACTGCAGTCATCTAACAGTGTCAGTCTGAAATTTAGATTAATCTAATTTGATAGCTGTAAGTGACAGAGATGTAATATGAATCTCAAATATTGCCAAAGTAATAAATAATTAGTGAGCATAGCTGAGCAAAATAGCAGGCTGAGCAGCCACCCAAATTCTGAATTTTGACTCAGTGATCAGCATGATCCATCTCTGCCTCAAATGACAGAACAGCTCTCACAGCCTAACACACAGCACCATCTGGGCACGAACAGAGGAAACTGAGAACTGGAAGAGAAGCACAAAAGCTATTTTCTTACTTCAGAATTGTTCAAGACAGTAGCAAAAATCCTTCAAACCAGACACAGCCATCTGACTACTGCAAACATGACTCACCGACTCCACATCCTGTACAGCTGTGTACTCCTCCAGCTCGCTATCCCAACACAACAGGGCTGAATCAAACCTGATTGTTTGACTGGGAGCATTTATTAGATCTACTGTCTATATCAAGGCAATGGTCTGTGGGATTTGCCATGTTTCTGAATGTCACCTTACATCTCTCAAGGAGAAYATTAGGAGAACAGAATATATCTAAGCAGCAAAGTACACCCTGCTCTTTTCAGGTAGTAATTCACGTGGGGTGGGAGTAAGAATACATTAAGTTGTGCTTAGACATGTGCACATGCACTGCTGGAGGTTTTCTAAGACCTCTTCTGTCCCCGAAGAGGGGACATGGAGCCACGACATGGGCTGGCTCTGCCGACCTGCTCGAATGCCTGCGATGTTCGCAAGATAAACACCAGCAGAGCCTGCAATCTGGATGACATTAGACTGTCTCACTGATACTAGCACAGATTTATTTTATCATTGCCTTCTGAAAGTGACTTTTAACACAGACTGTTTTCTAAATGATCCTTAAAAGACACTCCCTTCTTCCTCATCACCTTCACCCAAGGCAATAACAGCCGGTAGCACTGATCTATTTGCTGCTAGTTTTCATTAATTTTACCCTCCCTAAGGGTGGTGCAGCTTTGGTGCCAGCTAATTAAAACCTATTTAGGGCTGTTCAGTGCACTCTATCAGACCAGAATTACTTCTGCTGCTTTAAGGAAGACTATAGTTTTCTCTGTTATTACCAATTAAATGTAGTCATATGACCTTACATTATATTTMTAATGCATGAGAAAGTTATAAATGTCTTTAGAATTGCTCACATGGATTCAGGTAACCTGAGTTTAAGAATTACCTAATGTTTTATTAAATCCTTTCACCCGAATCAATACATACAATGTACTAAAACATTGGCAAAGTATTGGAAGAAGCTGTCAGCTTTATGTTCCCTCTGGGGAAATACTAAGTAAAATACATTCATGAAAAATTATGAATGTCTGGTAATTAATATTATGTACAATAATTATTCACAGCAGATGAGCATTCACTGCCTTAAAATCAAACGTTTCACTAATGAAGACTCTCAGAAAGAACATATGTCCCCCAGATTCATAACACTGCACACAAGGTTAACTCTCCAGCATCGATAGTCTGTATCGGAGGATATTTTGTTCTATAGAAGAATTAAAAAATGCTAAATTTATTCTAAATTAATAAAACAGGTTTATTGGAAGTTCTTTAGGTGCAAATCTTGTTTCTTTCCAGACCCAGCAATAAAACCTTTGTTCCCAAAGCAGGTGGTTTGGAGCTGCACTCACAGAATTTGAGAGTAAGGGTCCTGCTCCCATGGTGCAAGAGCAGAGCCCGTCTGCAGCACAGCAGTCAGCTGTGAGTCCCCCCTGCAACATCCTCTAAAATTTGAGCACCACGAGGATGAAAAAACTTTAAAATTCCACTAATTGCACAAAAAGAGGGTACATCAAAGAGTAGAAATTGAAAGCTCATTAAAAGCTTGACAGACCAGAAATCTGTAGTAATCTTAGTATGCATTGGTAGCATACTCCGTACATAAGGATTGCATTTTAGGATCAGACTAAAAATAGATGTGGTTACAACTCACTTGGTGCATTTTAAGACATGAACCAAATTTGGACTCCTTCCAGAATATTTTGTTGGGAAACTGTTGAAACAGACCTCTATTCAAACTAATACTGCAAGCAAGAGTTGATGTTTCTCCTAGGAACGGAAGGAATATTTGGTTGAAGAACCTGAGCCTGTCTCAGCATCATAATAGTCTGGCATAACACATAAAACTATTTTCATCACCCGCACTGCTCCTATGCTTTCCTTTTCCTGCTTCTACAAACACTATATATCTCTAATAGCCTCATGAACCCCCCTAAGAAACAGCAGAATGGTCTGTGAAAGATGTTATAGAAAATAAAGTAGTTTCCAAACTGAGGTCGTCAGATTAGAAGAGAACTGCAGGTTATTTTCTAGGGATATAGAAGGTGTTGGCAAGTAACATGCTGATTGTTTCCCTTGTTTCCACTGAGGTACTGCACTATTTTGTATTATAAGATTAAGTATTTTTTTAAAATCAGGTGTAGAAAATAAACGTTTTTACATTTACACTCTACCAAATGTTTTGGTAGAAACAAGGTTACTATTTGATTTCCACTGTGAGAACTGAGGATTTCTGATAAAGTAAAAGGGAGGTACTTGCAAATGCAATGTGAAGTGGATCATAAGCAGTCTGTTTACACTCTGCCCCTATGATAATGTGAAAGTTTTAGTTTCAGTGGATTAAGAAAAAAGAAACTGAGCTACTCTGAGGTCAGTCTGCTTGAGAATTTTAACAATCACAGGGAAAACAAAAGTTCCGTTTAATTTGGAAGAAAACATTTCTATTTTGTTAATTAGGTAACAAGAAAATCTTGTGATATCCTAGTTTGTTGAAGTGGAATTCACCAGACTGGTGATGAGAATGTTTTGACATTAAATGATAGGCTTTTTTGATAAGAAAAAATAAGATATCCTTTGCAGTCTCACAGTAAAGACAATTAAAGTGTTGAAAAATCACAGATCACTAATTTTATTAAAAATGCAAATTTAGATATAGTAATGCAATAAAAGTACCCGTGATCATATTCTGATGATTAATACCTCAACTGGATGACCTGGATTGTTAGAGGACATTTTTGAAGAATAGTTTTGCATTTTCTCTATCAATCTCTGGTAATCAAACCAAAGAGACTGTGAGAACCTGGACACTTTTATGGCATATAAGTGCCCTTCAGTTCCAGAATCCCAAGTTCTTCTACCTTGAAAATTTAAATAAAAGTTTTGGACCGAGTTAAACTGCTTGTGTATTGTAAACTGTTTGTATTCTTAGTTTGGTGACAAAGCTACAGTTCTTTGCCACTGACATCCAAACTGAAATAACAACACTAGGGCAGAATATGGATCTGGAAACTCCCTATCTGATTATCTATGACAGGCTGTCATTCATGCAAAAACCACAAAGGACAGAAATTTTGCTGATCAGCTATAAAATTTTGTAGTTCATGGACTGACTTCTACAAATCCAAATTCACAGCACTTAATGTGTTAGCCAGAATAGTGACCCTCACACTTCATCTCTCTTAAAACCTCCACTTGAGGAACATAAACACACCTTCTCAGGCAAGGTGAACATACCAACATAATTCTGCTAAAATTATTGCAATGTCACTGATAATCCCTTTTCAGCATGAAATACCATAAACATTCTGTACCCCGAAGTTTGTTTTTAAGGGTAAAGTGAATCTCATCAGAGAATAAAACACCAAATCCGGACTTATCCTGAGGTTGTGCATTTAGAAATGTTGTTTGTGTAAGATTATTCTCTTCAAATAAAATGTCAATTTAATCAATAGTAAATTGTGCTGAAAACAACACAGAGTTTTTAAAATGTTTCAGGAAGACATCCAATATTTTCGGGACTCAAGCCAACAGAAATGGAAAGAACAGAAGGTAGCGTAGGTGGGRTAAATGGGGCCTAGCTGCTGCCTCATCAAGTGCTTATAACAGTCAAAACCGTATAACAATCCATTAAAAACATATCTAGGGACTCATTTAGTCGCTGGCATCCTGCATGGCCCTCTCCCATGTATCGTTTTTCAAACATTATAATTGCTCTTCAGAAGTAGGACTCACCGATCTTTTCCTGTCTCCTTCTTAAACACAGCATCACAGTAACCCATGCGCTTTTCAGTTGTCACATAGATTCTGGCAGCTGGGTAGCTGTCAACAGTTTTCTTCAGCATGTTGTACACGATGCCATTTCCATCTTTCCTCATGTTCCGAAAAGGACCCCAGATCACATAGGCGGTGTTGTTGGCTTCTTTGAAAAAATAGTCAGGGTTCTTGAGTAACAAGGGCACGCTGGTGTGAGAGACCACTCTTATGGTTGTCCTCTTCCCAACATCCTCCTCATAGCCCTTGGTGGGAGCGTTGTTCATCCTCCATATGCAGGAAGACTTGTCTATCTCAGCTCCCACCCTCTGGCCTGTCATCTGTCCTGAGTTTGAAACAATGGCACACAGGTCACAGTCTAGTTGCAGAGGCTGAAAGAAAGAAAAAAAAAAAGGAAGGCAATTCTTTGTCTGTAAAACATACAGGCTGAAAATTCATTTCACAGAAAGAATGGCTTAATTCACCAAATTGATAGTGATATTTCTCTTTAAAAAAACATCAGTCCSCATGTGGCAGAGCTGGTGGAAAACCCTACGCTACAAAGCTCTCAATGCAATCCTTTTTTATTCCTGAAAGAGGAAGTAGCTGTAATCTTTTCCTTTGTTCTCTTCTTTGCAAAGTAGATAGAAAAAGAATCATTCCCTTTTCTCTCTAAACATTTCTCAGTAAAAGAGAAAACAATGAAAGAAAGAAGCAGCAAAAAATAGTATTTAGACCAATGCCTTCTTCTCTCCTAAATAGGTGTTATCTGCAATACGAAAAAAATAAAAAATAAAAAATAAAAAAAAAATAAAAAAAAAAACCCTAGAAGTACTACTATATGCGGACTGTGTTTAAGAGTTTGAATGAATAGTTCTCAGACTTGTGATCAGAGCCAAAAGTGAAATGTTGCTCTAACAAATAATCTGGTGGAATGAAAATCATGCATTTGGAAAGGAGATGTATGTACAGAAATATAATGTGCTGTCTAAATAATGATGCGCGAAAAACAAGAGATAGAAGGACTGGTGACTTCTGAACTAGGAACATAATCCTGGAYGCAGTGAAGTCAAAGAAAGTATTTCACAGATACAATTTATATTTCACCCAAATGAAATGGAGATAGAAGCAGCTATCTGTCTTAAGAGACATAGGACCTATCTGATCATCCATTTGTCAAGCTATAAATAGCAAATGTATCTTTGGATCTTTTGCCCCCCAAAAAATAGAGGAAATGCCATGTATTTAGGCTGAATTCTATGAACAGTGTGGTGGCAATCTAAACCAAATGAAAACTATATCCATCCAACAAGAGCAAATTAAAAAAAAAAAAAAAAAGACTACAGAAGAACTGTCCAGGCTACAGATCATCTACAATTTTGTGTATGGTCACAGACTAAATCTTCTGTCCTGCTCTTAACCTGGAGATGGTGGCTTCAGTTGTACATTCTTTAGGCATAATTTCCCTCATGATGCTCAACCTAACAGGATGCTAAATGCTTTTCTAAACAGCCTTGTCATTATTTCACTTCAAAATCACACCTTCATTTAGCTAATTGCAATCAATATCCCGGACATATTTAACTATGGTAACCTTTCAGAAAYGGTGGCCAAGAAAACATTTGTTTAGTAACGACACATATTATAAGGACAAGAGGTAAACATCTGAAAAGAACTGAATTATAGCAGCTTAAGTATCTTATATTTAGGTGACAATATTTAGCTGAAGTAAGGTACAACCTGCAAGACTTTTGCAATAATCCCAGCAGTTGCAAAGGCTCACTTGTGTATGCAAGTGGCTCCGGAAAACATTCTTTCCTTGTTTAGTCAGGGGTTAGAGCTACCTGACTGCCTGCAAAAACATTGGCAGTGTTTTCTTCAGAGAAAAACATTTTTTGGTTATTTCTTTATAGCTATTGTAGTTTTACAGAGCCATCCTGCCTAGCTCTCTGACAGCAAAGATGAAATCCCAGGAGATGCAGCTGAACACAACAGCCTTTCTGTTTATCACTTAGTTACACAAATCCTTTCTAAGATAGTTTATGAGGACATGGCTGGATGATCTAAACAAATCCATAAACATAATTTATATTCTAACATGAAGTGAATTGTTAAAGTCCCAGCAGATTAATTTATAGATTTGAGGGTGAAATTTCAAATGAAGAAATGCTGAATATGAAACTGCTAGAGAGGAAAGCACCAATTTGCTCAAGAATCTGGACCCATTTACATTTGTCTCAAACTCAGTATTGATTTTTTTTTTTCATAATTCCTTTCTTTCTCCATTAAAATGGAGTTGCTTTCTCAAACTTGGAATTGTTTGATTTCTGACCTTAGTTAGAAATGCATTGCACATTTTCTATTCACTGAGTGCAACTGTTCTGCTCGAATAAACCAAGCACACCTACTCCTGCATTGTGCCCACTGTTTTCTAGCTGTTTTGTTGAGATTCATTTATGTTGTACCAATTCATAAAATGCTTTCATATACTGAATGCCTGTACTAGGTCACCATGTAATCTTCTCCTCTTCAGTAAAGAAGAGGCTTAATCTCTCCCAGTCTTATCTCAAAAAAAAACTACTTTTAAAATCTACAGYGGTTTTAGATGTCCTAATGTGCACCTATGTGCACAGAGATCACGGAGAAATTGAAGAAATAACTCACAATACTCTATGTATCTGAACCAAGTATTAAATACATCTGACACAGACACGCCACTCCTCATGCCAGCATCACTGACTGCAGTATCTTCCTGCATCATATCTTCTGCAATTTATCAGAAAATGCTCATCAAACATATAGCAGCTTGTGGGTTTAAGTAACGCACATGAAACAGTTCTGCTTTTCTTCATTTACCTCAGCATTCCTGTTTGCAATTGCACCCTACCTCATGCATGGCTTCCCACCGCTTTCAGACATGAAAGGTGCTCAAGTGTGGCTCATCTGATGAATCCAGCATGGTCAGAACTGGGAAGAAACAAGGCTATCGGCGTTGCTGTGTCTGATACTGAACCAGGACCTCCCTCATGGCTCACGATGGCACTGGGACTAAGGGATCTGTACAATCCTGTGCTGCCCCTCACTCAGAACTAGGATGTGTGCTGTGAACTTCATGTCTGTCTCATGAGCAGATTTTTGGTTTTTAACATCTTCAAAGTTGCCCCAGAAAAACTGCAAGAAGCTGATCACTTTGCTATTGAACTTGCTGTACTGTTTGTGTTAAAAGTGAATAGAGACAGAGAAACGATTCTTACACACAGAAACCTAAATATAGGGAGACAGAAACTGGAGAATTACAGAACACTTGCCTTGTTGGTCATCTATTTTGCAGTTAACAGCATGCAGGTGTCTGCATCACATACACCAGGATAGTAATTAAATACCAACCCAAGAGCAGCCTACCCAGCAAAGCCGAAGATGGATCTGGCAGGTAGTCCAAGCTGCCTCTCACCTGCAGCGAGGGTCCAGCRGCTGCTGCATGGCTGCAGATTGGCAGGACCATGTGGGAACCTGTGCCATTACCGCTTATGCCCTCTGGCCAGGAAACGTGCTTTTCATTAGACCTGTGTTTGCTTTCATTATAGCTATACAGCTAAAGAAGAAAACAGGGAGAACCGGTCACCTTTTCTTTTCTTTTTGTGTACTTAGACATATAGATCACCTCCACACACTATGGTGTCGGAGCTTATTTTTGATAAGCTGCTTTGCCTCTAGAAAATTACTCATTTCGTTGCTGACCAGAAGGATGTAAAAGTCCGCAGCAGTGCAGCTGGGCATGATYCTGACAAATTGTCCTGTCTTCTTCTTGAATGATACATTGTAACTGTTGAGCAGCACTTTTATTTTAATCAGTAACGCAAATGAAATGTCTGACCTTTCCATTTCCCGTGCAAGCTTACACACAATGGAAAAGATAATTAAAACTGTGAATTAGAACTTGCAAAACAGTGCTGCTGCTCTAGCAAAGAGAAATAGCTGTGTAATAAAGATCACTTATCAAACAGTTCTAGTTATTAAATCTTTGCATTTAGCACTGAAGTGGCTTCACAAAATCAAAGGTCAAATCGTTAAATAACAAAACAGACAGAATTAGCAAAGGTCACAAGCACGACTAACTAAAAGTAGGTCACAGAATGTGATTCAGTTCCATAGAGGAGTTCAATGTTTGGGAATTTGGTTACTTTCCAGTTTGAAACAACTCCCCAGCATTTCAAATATCTCCAACAAGAGAATGAAATTCCAGTTACAGGATCACTTGCAGATTAGGSTTTCCCAAAGGAGCAGCTTTTGGATCACCAAGCTCCCAGCCTACAGGACTGATGCAGATCAAAGTGGACRTGATCTCAGGCCATGTCTCTCAAACATGTTAGCCAAAACTTTCCACACCACAAACTTTCTGGTTTCTCCAATGCAGTGAGGACTGCAAAACAACATCTGGATTGACCGCCTACATTCCAAGCTGCAATCTTATCAGAGACAGCCAAAATAGTCCTTTAATTGGATCAACTCTAACTCAGGATATAAGCATATTTAATTTATACTAATGAAGAGCTGATTTACTCCAGAGAGCTCTTGGCACTATAGGGCTGTGGCATGCTGCAGAACCAGCTCCTACCCACAACTCTGCTTTGCTCTGTGAATCCCACAACTAATCACACAGACAGTTAGGAAATTCAGATTAAACTTTTCCAATTGTTACTTTAACAATATGATTGTAATTTTGTAAATTGGACACAATGCCCATTCACTAAATAACGAGGCAATTATTAGCAGCTCGCCACGTATTAATTTGCTCCTTTAATGTTGAAACAAATGAGATCTTTTCTTATAATCATCCGATTTGAGTGAGTTCTAACAAAGCTGATTGAACAAAGCTCCAGAGAGACCTTCTTATTTCAATGCCATTTATGCTTCTACTCTTCTTGCATGTCTTCAGAGTTTTAGAAGATGCAACGTTTATAATGATGCCAATAGGGAATAGATTTTGCGTTTATTCTTCTTGATGTTCTTTTGAGGTCTTTCAAATGAAAGGTACAAGASAGGCATTAAGCATCTGGCATTGTTTCTATTGCTTTTCTCTACTTTGCAAGCAAAAAATGTATTTTAATTTTTCCTGTGTTTCAGTAATGATTAACCAAGCAGTTTTTATCTACACTGACTCACTTTTTTCAAACGTCTAACTGGGAGGAAAAACTTGACAGGGTTCTCTAAGAGAAAATTCAGCACATTTAAAGATAAGAAAGATAGTACTGTGTTTGCTTGTGTGTTCATCCAGAGTTATCAATTTAATGCGGCACTCAGAAGCACTCTATATAAATCACATTACATAACTACCATCAAGCAATGAAAATAAAAATGATACAAAAAATACAAGACTGATTACCCTAAATTT